AGATTATGGCTGGATTTTAGACTGATGTCTTTTCCCTCATGTTTTATTCGTTTGGTATACTGCCTGGTTGATTGTACTAGGTGCACCTGTCCTGGATTATTGGTTCGCTGGTTATGGCTGGATTTATTGGTTCATTCCTTCTGGATTTTTGCATAGGGCTTAATGCTTGGTCCCATGGCCTGCCATTTCTTCTCTACCCATGTTTTAATTGTTTCGTGGTTTATTTGGACCCTTTTATCCTTGGAGTTTGGCTAGATTGTTGGGGATAGGCCACCCCCTCCTTGTACTTCTTTATCTTTTTATTATTAATAAAATCCTCTTATAATATATATATATATATATATATATATATATATATATATATATATATATGAAGGAGACTTTGTGGGTGGAAATTAGGATGGCCAGCCTCTGAAGTTTGGAGGGTAGACCACAGATGTTCCAGAAGAGCACATTCATTGGGAGAAGTGTTGGGGTTGATTGTGTGAGGAGAACTTCTCTTGTAATCTCTTTGATTTCCTTATAACTGTTGTGAAAGGTTGTTCATGAATGTCCTCTTCTGACCTAACCTGGCTGTCTTTGCTTTCAGATGTGTCTTGCTGTTTGCTGGCTGAGGAATCTGAAGTGGACGGGCCAAGGTGGGGCTCAGATAAGGGGTAAGTTATCAGCGGTTCTTGTTTTTGATGAGGTTCTGTGTCTGAGATGTAAATGGGAGTTAAAGATAAATTTTCTGTGTGTAAATGCAGGTCATCAAGAGAGGTGTGAGGGGGAGTAGGGGGTTGATTTGCTGTGGGTTTGAGTTGCTGATTTTCTTCCCAACTCACCAAACATTTGGCAAGAATATCATTGTGGACCAGGGTTTCCCAGTCAGCTTCCTCCAAGAAATTTTCTGAGGTTGGTTGAGATGTTGAGGGTTGAGGGTTAAGAAAAGGCTTGGGTGTTGGGATGTTTAGGCTGGGTTGGTTTTTATTTGTTGTTGAGGTTATTGGGCTGGGTGGAGGGATTTCAGTGGGTAGGGTGGGTTGTTTGGGTGTTGGGATGTTTAGGCCTGAGGTGGGTTGGTTGTTAATGGGGTTTATTGGGCTGGGTGTAGGCTGCATGGAGGTTTCCAGGGGTATTTTCCGGCCATCAGAGTTGTTGACAGAGGTCTGGTTGGCCTGAGTTTTCAAGTTTTCAATTTGGGGTTTGAAGAACTTGCATTGGGAGTTGTGCCTCCCAACCCCCTTGCATTCCCCACAATATTCTAGAAGTTCTTCAAAGGTAGCTGTGAGGAGTAGGGGGTTGGCCTGGGGCCATTTTTAACATAGAACTTGGTGATAGGGGGCTTGGAAATATCAACCTCCACACACACCCTAGCAGTCCTATCTACTGTAAGCAATAGCTGGGCCCCTATACTGGTGGAGGGATGAGAGGACTGGGTTACAAACTCAAAAACCTAGGATTTACCCTCCAAACATGGAACAAGAACACTTTTGGTAACATAATCAACATGGTTAGCTTTCTGGAAGGGGAACTGAAAGTAATTGAAGAACAATTTGACACCCACCCAACCCCAGAAATGAGATCTCTCATGCAGGAAACAAAGGCTAAACTTATTATTGCTACCCAACAAGAGTACTCCTACTGGAAACAAAAGGCAAATATAAAATGGAGAAAAGAAGGAGATGCAAACACAGCCTTTTTTCACTCCACTGTCAAAATCAGGAGAAGCCAACAAAACATAAATAGCCTCAAGTCTAAAGATGGAAAATGGCTCCATAACCATGAGGAGACCCATGAAGAAATCCTCAACCACTACAAAACCCTTTTCATGTATAAAGAATCCCACAATGACAGATTCACTGCTAATATTCCTAACCTTATCACTCAGATGGACAACAACAGCCTCACCTCCCTTCCAGATGAAAATGAAGTAAAAGAGGCTGTTTGGACACTCTCAGCAGACAGTGCTGCTGGGCCTGATGGGTTTAATGGTCATTTCTATAAAACTTGTTGGGAGCAAATCAAAGTGGACTGCACAAAAGCTGTCCAAGAGTTTTTCTTGGGGATCCCTATCCCCAAAATCTATGCCCAGACAACTATCATACTAATTCCAAAGAAGGAAAACTCTCAATCCTGTGAGGACTATTGACCTATTTGCTTGTCAAATTTCTGCTGCAAGATTTTCTCCAAAATCCTCTCCCAAAGATTGAGCTCCATCCTTCCCAGATTGATCTCACTTGAACAAGGGGGATTTGTAAAAGGAAGGGTGATTAATGACCAGGTCCTCCTCACACAAGAACTCTTCCATGGCCTTGACTACAAAACAAGGGGGGGTAACCTTGCCATCAAGCTGGACATGTCTAAGGCATTTGATAGAATTTCTTGGAATTTCCTTATCACTGTCCTGGACAAATTTGGTTTCAATAACACCTTCCTAACCCTCATCCAGAACCTTCTCCACAGCTCTCACTTCACCATCCTGATCAATGGCCATCACACTAAAGCTTTCAAACCTAAAAGAGGATTGAAGCAAGGAAACCCTCTCTCCCCCCTCCTCTTCATCCTTGCCTCTAAAGCCTTCAGCAGAACTATCAAAAAGGAAACTGCATCTAGATCCCTCTCTTCATACTACCTTGGCAGGCATTATACCCCTATTACCCACCTAGCCTTTGCAGATGACCTTATCCTCTTCACTAAGTGTGATTCCCCTACAGTCACTAGAATCAAATTGTTACTTTCTGACTATGAGGACTGCTCTGGTCAACAAATCAATCGGGGAAAATGCTCTTTCTACATCCCTAAGAATACCCCCCTTGCTACCCAAAGAAGAATTCAAACCATATTGGGAATGAACAAAGGCAGCCTCCCCTTCAAATACTTGGGCATCCAAATCCATCATGGAATCAACAGAAAACCCTACTGCCATGACATCCTCAACTTGTTTGACTCTAAACTTAAAGGATGGTACCATAAGCTGCTTAGTCAGAGTGGGAGGTTAACCCTCATCAAGCATGTCCTAAACACCATGCCACTTTACATGTTGGGCTGCAGTAAAATCCCTAAGAGCATCATCAAATGTCTACATTCCAAAATGAATAACTTTCTTTGGGGACATGACAAAGACAACAAGAAGTACCACTGGTCCTCTTGGGAGAAGCTATGCTTTCCTAAGGATGAGGGTGGGTTGGGAATCACTGATCTCAACACACTTCAACTAGCCTATGGTTTCAAAATGTGGTGGACATATACTCAGAACAACTCCCTTTGGGCAAAGTTCATGAGGGCTAGATACCCTAAGGGTCTTTCCATAGCCCCAAAAATCATTGACTCAGTCTACTAGAAAAGACTTTATGAGGTCAATTGTTGGGAAAATATTATAGATTTTGATGATGATGTATTTAGATTGTAATAGGGACTTTAAGTCTCCCCCAATATTCAATGTAATTTTTCTTTTTAGAAATACTGTCAAAACCGAGTTCTTGAGATTTCCAATAAAGTTGTGATATTTCTTTAAGCGGTTTGATGCTTGAAGACTCAATCAAATTCAGTGATTTGGAAATTGGATATCTTGATCGGAAATGTCAGAGACAAGTAAGGATTTCTCAAAGCAGATGAAAATCCTCTGATCCGGAAGACTACATGATAACCGGATGTCTCGCTACAACCCGCTGAAGGCTAAGTCATCCAAAAACGGAAGACTAGCGCGGATCTCTTTCTCACCCGGAAGTCTGTGAATGACTCTTCCGGATTTGTCAGCAAAGAACTAGATGCCTCAAGAAAGACCGGAATTCTCAGAAGCGGACAATTGAGAAAAGACTTAGAAAATTATCTAAGTCTTGAATGAAGAACTTCTACCCGTTGGTAAGGAAAAATCAATCTCTTGATTTTCAACAGCTAGATTGAAGATAATTATGCTGATTCAAGAACAAATGACTTGAAGAAAAAGACTGGACCTCTCAAATTGAAGAGCCTGTCCAGAATTCCTAAACAAGCACTAGAAGAAAAACTGAGTAAAGTGCTACAGTCCAGAATTTTTGAACAACAGCTAGAAGACGGATTCTGTGGAAAAAGGAACTCCTCCTCAAACACTTGGGTATGTCCAAACACCCATTCCAACGAGGAATCTTCAAATCACAATCTTCATTCAAAATTGAAGCCAGCAAATGCAACGGATAGTCTATTTTGATTCAACGGATAGATTATCCAATCCAGCTATAAATAGCATCCTTAGAAGACTGGAGAAAATACACAACCAACGAGATAGACGAACACAACGAAGCAATATCTAACAACAAAGCTATCTCATTCACAATTAGCCCAAAAGCTTGATAAAGAGAGATTTCTAAACTCCTTATCCAGAAGCAAACTTCTCCTCCTTCCAAAGAGCTATAGTGTAAACACTTGAAGGTTTCCTTGCCTCAAGTACCACACCACGTTGAAGGATATAACTTTTGATCAAATTTCTTGATTAAAAGGGGGTAGGTACACTTTCTTACAAGTTGATCTTGCAATTCCTATTGTTCGGATCTTGCAGTTGTTGAAGAAGCGTGACCTTCGAAGGAACAAGAAAGCGAGCACGAGTGCAGTAGCAACATTGGCCTTGCGAAGATATACCGTGCAGAAATTCACACAAGTGTAATTGTTGGTTCATTATTCAACAACCAACTACATAGTGGATTTTGAGGACGTAGAAGGATTACCCCACCTTCGAACCTTGTTAAAGTTTGCGTGTCTCTCTCCTTTATCTTTACTCTTACTTGCAATTATATTAACTGTGAAAACTAACCCATCCATATTGATTACTGCTCATACTACCCACCAAATTCCACACACAATCAAAAGTTCCCAAGAACTCTAGATTTACACTATTTTCACGTTTTCAAAAGAAACGAAAAAGTTGTAAAATTGTAACAAAGTCTATTCACCCCCCTTCTAGACTTTGTATCTCACCACTTTGGGACCACCAATTGGTATCAAAGCAAACTTCTCACTATCTACATTTAGATTAACGAGAAGCGATCATAATGGTGAACAATATGGATCACGGTTTGCCCAAGTTTTCTCTTCTAGGTTATGATGATTGGAAGATCATGATGGAAGCACACCTTTACGCCCTACATGATTGCATGTGGATGGTGCTTGAGGATGGACCCTTGAAAATCCTAATGGAGAACCTTGAGAGGAATGCAGCCAATCCTGATGTTGTCCAAGGAAAAGTGGGATGATAGAAATTGCAAAAAGCACAATCTGGACAACGTCGCCAAAGCAGCCATCTTCAAGACACTTGATCCCATCACCTTCTCCAAGATCAAGCATCTCAAGACTGCCATGGAGATTTGGCAAGGTCTTGGGAAGCTATGTGAGGGATCAGAGCACCTGAGAAAGCAGAAGATAGAAGTCCTGCTTGAGAAGTTCAAAAGCTTCAAAATGCTTCCCGGAGAATCATTTGATATGTTGGATGAAAGATTCCACAAAATATTGAATGATCTTGCATCACTTAACCACGTTCTTTCTCCCAAAGAAAAGAATGTAAGGTTGCTGAGATCACTTCCAACTGAGTGGTACACCAAAGCCACAGCCATGGAAGAAGGAAGAAACCTGGAGAACTACACTGTCCAAGGTCTCCTTGATGACCTCAGAACCTATGAGCATGAGCTGATGAAGAAGAAGGAAGAACAAGTCACTCCCTTCCCCACGGCATTGATGACAACTCCCAGAGTCCCACCGAGTGAAGGGACATGCCCAAGGAACTGTGACACACCTTGCTCTAGCCAGCCATCAAGCTCAAGAATGGAGAACTATGATGAGGAATTTGCCATGATGGTCAAACAATTCCGGAAGTTCAAGAAGTTCTTCAAGAAAGCTGACTCAGTCAGAAGGCCATCCAAGGGAAAGCCACAGGTAAGTGACTCCCCTCCTGAATCCTATTTATGTTATAACTGCAGGAAACCTGGTCATTGGAAGTCAGCGTGCCCGTACCCAAAGGTGGAGAAGTACGGAGAAAGAGAAAGGAACGAAAAGAAGAAGAAAGCAATGGTTGCAGCTGAAAGTGACGAGTCATCCAGCTCAAGCTCGGATGAAGAAGCCCTCGTCTGCATGGAGCGCAGAGCTGAGAAGTCCAACCATGAGGATCGGTGGACTATGTCAGAAGATGACACCCTCTGCCTCATGGCCAAAGATGATGCCGAACAAGAGGTAACCTCACAAACCTCCTGCGCATCTTCTTATGAAAGCATACCAACTTCTGAAAGTCTTTTTGACAAGTTCAAAAAGATGATGAAAGATTTTGAGGAAATAAATCTCAAACACTCATCCTTAACAGAAGAGAACAAGCTAGATGAGATCACTCAACTCAAGACTGAAAATAAATCTCTCTCTGAAAAGGTGAAATCCCTCAACAAGGAGCTTGGGATACTTAAGTCCAAAGAAGCAGTGGATAAGCTTCTTGAAACGGCTAAACAAAAGGGTCGTGATGGACTTGGGTTTGACCCCTCCAGTTCCAAAAGGAAAGGGAGAACAACTTTCATCCCTCCTAAACCTACTGCCAAATCCTATAAGCAGAAAGGAAAGGAGAAGGAGAAACTAACAGAAGTTCCCAAAAAGGTAGTCCCTCCTAACTATAGGAAGCTGGACAGACCTCAAAAAGGAAACAATTTCAGAAGAAAACCTCCTAACCCCCACTATACACGAGGCTATACTCACTATAGGGTAGATAAGAGTTTTCCAAGAAATTGTCATCCTCCACCCCAGAAAATACTCACTATGCCAAGAGTTTTCCAAGAAATTGTCATCCTCCACCTAAGTATGCTTACAACCGTCACATGCCACACTATGCACAACCTAGACAAAACTATAGGTCTTATCAACCTAAGTTTGCTAGGAGGAAACAGGAAATAACACCACCTGCACGTAGGAAGTTCTATGCCTACAACTATGATTACAATCCCAACAAGTTTAGAGCTGCAAGGAGAATTCCCTGCAACTTCAAACTTGATGTAGGGACACACACCATTAACTATTCCGGACCCAAACTGAATTGGGTACCAAAATCTTCCTCCTCCTAATGCAGGAAGCCGCTAAGTACCCGGGTGTCTGGTACTTAGACAGTGGCTGTTCAAGACACATGACGGGTGATGCGAGCCTCTTGAGCAATCTAATTCCCTATGATGGCCCAAGAGTTGCAATGGTTGCTGCTGAAAGAAGGCAATGGTTGCTGCTAAAACCATTGCTGCTGAAAGTGATGAGTCATCCAGCTCAAAGTGATGAGTGATGAGTTGCAGAAAGTGACGAGAAGAAAAAGAAGGCAATGGTTGCTGCTGAAAGTGATGAGTCATCCAGCTCAAGCTCGGATGAAGAAGCCCTCGTTTGCATGGAACGCAGAGTTGAAAAGTCAAACCATGAGGATAGGTGGACTATGTCAGAAGATGACACTCTCTGCCTAATGGCCAAAGATGATGCTGATCAAGAGGTAACTTCACAAACCTCCTGCTCATCTTCTTATGAAAGCATACCAACTTCTGAAAATCTTTTTGACCAGTTCAAAAAGATGATGGTAGATTTTGAGGAAATAAATCTCAAACATTCTTCCTTAACAGAGGAGAACAAACTATTGAGTGAAGAGAATCTCAAATTGACTGAAGGTCGGAAAAGTCAACTGGATGAGATCACTCAACTCAAGACTGAAAATGAATCTCTCTCTGAAAAGGTGAAATCCCTTAACAAAGAACTAGGAACACTTAAGTCCAAAGAAGCAGAGGATAAGCTTCTTGAGACGACCAAACATAAGGGTCGTGAAGGACTTGGGTTTGACCCCTACAGTTCCAAAAGAAAAGGGAGAACAACCTTCATCCCTCCTAAACCTACTGCTAAACCAAATAAGCAGAAAGGAAAGGAAAAGGAGAAACCAACAGAAGTTCCCAAA